TAAAACATACAGAGTGACTCCATTTTTTAAAACTTGCTTGGAAAGCCACATATCCAAATATTAATATTAGTTCGCCTTAAATGTCCTTTATTTTCTCTTTTATACTTTTCCTCAAATTTTCTGCAGTGAACTTGTATTTTCTTACCAGAGAAAATAAAACAAACAAACAAAAATGCTAATTTTTTAAGGAAAGAAAAATAAAGTCACAGTGGATGCAGTCGATTGGTGCATGCAAGCCCAGGCTGGACCTGGGGTGTGCAGAAGTAGAGAAAGATTGTGGTGATAGGAGAAGGGGTCCCTGGAGATTGCTCTGTCCGTTTGGTGTAAGGTCCTGCAAATCTGGAGCAGTCAGTATTTCAGATCTTCAGTGAGGTTTTCTATCTGCCTTATTCACCAGAGTCTTGTTCTTTATCTCACTTATTCCAAGTGTTTCAATTATTCCAGCAACTGATCTGGTGTCCTGGAGGCTCTTGGGACCTCTGAGATCAGAAACACACTAAACCCTGGCTGTCCACACCTGCTGTCACCAGTCATGGCCCCCAAACTGAGAGTGAGGAAACACAGTTGTCAGGCGTCTGGAGCTCCGACTCTATTTTCGCTTAGGGAAATATATATTATATGATTTTAGATTATTTAATTAAAAATATTCATATTCTGAATCATACTTAATTTTTATTTACATTTCAGTGGCGTGAGTAATATTTCGTGGGAACAGTTAAAAACGTTCCTAACTTTAGGGCTGCTTGATTAAATTTGAAAAAGGAATCTCAGAGCAAAAGATTTGGTCATGTCTCTTTGACTATAACTCTTATATCAGGAATATGTATCAGAATTAATGTGTTTTTAGATTGCATTGATCAAAGTCGAATGGACGCTTTGCCCACAGAGCTTTGAGCTTACCCATCTTGAGTTGCAGTAGAACTGAATTTTCTGTATAATTGTTTCTCTACTTAACTTTATAAGGAAACACATGTCCAAACCGAGGATAGCCCCACTTTGTTTCAACATGGTTTGGGTTTTGCAGCGTTCAAGATTTTCCCAACTCCGCACCCCTTTTTTTCCTTCCTTTTCTTTTTTGGTCTTAAAACACGCTCTTTTGGCTGGTTCGATAAGTTGTTCCTGCCAACCAGTTGCTTTTATGGTAATTGACAGCGTAGCTGATTTTTGGAACCTTAGAATCTAAAAAGGCATTTTAGCTCAGACTTTGGAGGGGCCGAGCCAAGCTACTTGCAGAGTAAGAGCTACAGCTGAGCAGAATGCAGGGCGGTCAGACCGTAAGTCTGTGCATGTTAATTAATAGCAGTGAAACGTCTGCTCTAGCTCAGAATTATGATTTCCCTCTTTTCAGCAGCGTTCAGAATCCTTCCTTCTCCTGTCGGATTGTTTCTTGAGCTACTGGATGCCACTTCTGGAGGGGAGCTGGTGAGACGACCTGTCTGCAGTGGACAGAAGTGGCACAAGCTCCTGAGCACCGGTGATGGGTCAACACCCACCACTCCTTAAATACTGACTCTTGGCTGAAAAGGCACAGAATACTTGAATGAGATAAGGGCCAGGAAGTTTATACTTTAAAGGAAAAGAGCATAAGAAAAAAAAATCTTCACATTTAATGCAATTTTTTAACACAATGAGTGGGTTGTAAATTTTCCGAGTTCCCCCCAAATGATACCAGTTCTCTAAAATAACTGGGGCATTTCCCCAGATTTCATCTCAGCATAATGAATAGAAAAAAATCTCCCCAAACTACCAGATCTTTATGGCCCTTTGCTTTCCTTCAAAAGCATAAATGTTTCTGAGTTGAAGGGCCCCTGTTTGCTGTCTTCCTTCTGCTACTTCTTCTGGGAACTAAAACACACTACACTGAAGGAGGTGGCTCTTGGACTCATAATATCCTAGTGACGCAGGACAGCCTTCCAATAACAGAAACAGGAAAGCGTGCGCTTCGAGCACCACTTTACGTTTTGAACCCAAACCGCCTGGACGCAGAGAACCCCCAAAAGCTGTGGTAGTCAGCTTTTTCTTATTCGTTTGAAATCTTTGACATTGAGCCTCATTACACGCTGTTTTAGCATTGACTATTGACAGAGAAGCAAAATGTTTTTCTTTTCCTTCTTATGAAGACTTTTCCTCTGCTGCTGGGAAAGAAAACTGAGTCTGTACCTAATGACACTGCACGTGCCCCTCTTGCCTTAGAAACAAAATATAGGATTCAGTCTTTTGAATCCTGCCGAGTGCATTGTTGAAATTTGTGAAACTTATTAGGAATACCAAATGGGGGATGGAGTCTGTGTTTTTTCACTTCAAAGGTATTTTCATAGGCACCAAACTGTAAAACACAGAACCCCCCAAAGAGTAAGCAGAATTTTATAATCTCACAGTTGGCTGCAGTAAACTTGTTCCTCGGTGGAACAAGTTCAAGGAGGCAGCCAGAGGGAGCACGAGCAGTGTCCGTGGGGCTGTGGGACCTTCAAGGTCACTCTTCGTCCCAAGCAGGAGCTCTCCGTGGACCTGAACTACATGCCAGTGAATTACGTGCCATCCTCCCACAGGCAGGCTCCCTTCATGTCTGGGCTCTGTAATGCATCACATATTTGCTAGCCACAGGCGTCCTCCTCGTCATCTGTGCGGTCATCATTCTCAGGTGGACCGTTCAGGTAGGGGTCCGAGTGTGGCCCCTCGTGCAGTGAGACTGCTCGTTTGCGAGCCAGCGCATCGGTTACACGGTCTTTTCTAAATTGCGTTTTGTTATTTCCCTGATGTTATTTAAGCTTCATGGAACTTATTCGGCTTCTGCCAAGTCGTTCCGTCGAATAAATATCTCCATAACCTATTGCTTCACTCTGGCAACGGACTTGTTGCAATTTGTGGGCAAAATTGAGCAAAGGCCTAACTCTTTTTAAAAAATTTTTTCTCCGTAAAATATCCACCGTCGTTGGCTTTCCTCCTCCTACACAGGGGCCTTGACTTGTTCTGTGTTCTGGTAGCACCTTGTCTCTGTCACGACTGAGTAAAGATGTGCCGATAACAGCACTAAACAGAGAACGATTTAACGGCCATTACAGAGACATTCACTGTCCACATGCAGAGTCGCTAACACTAAATAAGATACACAGCACTTAGAAGAGTGCCTGGCACAGAGGAAGTGATCTGTGAACTAGGATGAGCAGAGTCCTGTGAATTGAAAGTTGTCATTCATTTCCTCCATTTCCATGAGGAATTTTATAATTCCAAAATTTCCAGGAGCAGCAGTGGTGTAGTTAATTAGGCCGACCTGGTAGGAGCCAAAAGATCCAGAGGCTGACTGTCCAACTGTGCCCAGATCCAGTTATTTCCCCAAAGGATCCCCAAAATGAAAGGAGACCCAAGGAACTGTTGTTCCATTCGAGGCCAGGCGCGCATTATCTCATGCATTCTTCCTAACGACCTTGTCATTTTTTCACTAGTTTTAATTTGTTTGTTTGCTTGCTTTTTGTTTTGTTTCGTTTTGTTTTGTAAGCTCCCTGGGTCTCAGGGTAAGGGGTCGTGCAAAGAGCCTATAGCGACCTATTATTATCTCCTGGTCTACTCTGTAAGGATGGGTTAATAGAATTTCCCGATTCTTCTTCACAGAGGGCATCAAAGTTTAGCTGCCTAATCGACACGTCATGTAATTATTTTCTCTTGACCACGTCTTCCCTGGGAAATCTGGCCCTGGTTGGACTGCGTTAGGATCACGTCGATGTTCTTCTCAGGTCTCTTCTAGATCCATGAGTCTCTCAGAGGCCAGAACTAGAAATTATGCTGCGCAGCCTAACTAGCCTTGAGCATCACAGAGGGGAAAAAAAAAATGCCTTCAGAAATATTGAGTTGGAGGTGGTAAAAGGAAGGGAGAGGACTGACGGCAGGAAAAGACAGCTTTCCAAAGGCCACAGAGCTAGCAGAGCGCCTGAGCAAACACTGCGAAACATTGTGTTTCACGTTTCCTGTAGGCAGCTCAGTGCTTCACAGCTGTTCGGTGATGGTAGTTGCTGCTGCCGCTGCTGCTGCTGATGGTGACGATGGTTACTTAACCACTATCTAGTTTGAGAGTGTCATGGGCTGATGGGGAGTCCCAAACCCACTCTTTTGTCCCCACTCCCCTGCCATGCTGGTAGCCCCTCTTTCCCTTCTCTATTTTTGTGTTCCCAACACCATATTCTTTTAGCCAGAGGAGCTACCCAGACAGATTTAATCAAGATCAAGAATCCGTTTCATCTTTCCTTATTCTGATGTGGTATTGGTAGACAGATATTAGCGTTTTGAGGGAGGGAGCAAATCTAAACCAAAGGTGAGAGTGCATAAGCAAAAGCTCGCTCCATAACTTTCATTTCCTGCAGCAGCAGGATGAGTTCATTTGGAGCTGGAAGTCTGGTGCCTGCTTATCCTAATATGCCAGGAAGTCCTGCGTTGCTGTCAGCATTGGGTCTGTTATTCATTTGCTAACTAGCCAGAGGGAACTATTAGCCAGTCCTTTTTCAAGATGGAGGTTTGATTCCCATGAAATCATAGGATATTGAGCCAGAGGCACCCTGAAGATCTCCTAGGAACTCCCTTATTTTATAGTTAGAGAAATTGTACCCCAGACGTTGTGGCACCGTAGTCTGCCCAAAGGTACACGGCAGGTGAGTGGATGGGGAGAAACCAAAACCTGGCCCCAGGTACACAGTTCACACTCTTTTCTCTACACCATTCACTCCTCATGAAAAGGCCCAATTTCTCAGAATAAATTCGCCTCAGAGTTTTGCGTATCTACGAAAGCTACTTTTTCTTCTTTGTTACCTGTTCTCACCTTATTCCTGCTTCTTTGCAAGAAAAAATTTTGGGGACCTTAATTTAAACTACTTTATCTTTTCAAAAAAAGTAAAGCTAATTTTTAACCGTATTTTCTGATGAACTTTTATTCCCGGTAATTCATGATGACACTCTTGAGATTAAAAAAGAAAGAAAGAAAAAAGTAATTAAATTTTTGCTTTTCTTTACAGACGCTCTGGAAAACGGATCCAATAGAGGTGACAGGTGAGCAGTGGGTTTTATTTGCCATTTGTGCTTTTCAGTGATGGCATTTTCTGCATACGCTGCAGTGAGTTTGATCATTTTCTTTCTGTTTTGCTTAAATCCAGTGCAGCTAATAGAAAGGGACCGAGCAAGGATGACACATACTGGAAGGAGATCAATGCAGCTATGGCCTTAACAAATCTTGCACAGGGAAAAGACAAACCACAGGGAACTACCAGCTGCATCATCCAGAAGTCATCACATATAGCAGAAGTAAAGACAGTCAAAGTGCCACTGGTTCAACAGTTTTAAGAGTCTGTTGCTTTTCAGATCAATGGCTATTCTTCACGTTGGTGTTTTGTCATAAATCTTCACCATAAGAGCCGAAGCAGAAGTGAAAATGACTCCCTTTCAAACCTTTTGTTATTTTTAAATATCTTAAATATATCATTTAGTTGCTTCTATAAAAGACATATAAATTATAAAAAAAACCCTCACTTTAATCAAAAATATTAACTTATTTTATGTTACTCAAACTATGCATACAATGTCTGTGCATTGCCATTACAGTAAGTGCCTTGCTTCCCAAAATTAAGCTACAACGTGGGCACAGCAGAGCAGCTATGCCTCAAAATGACAACGCCATAATGCTTATTAGTCTGTGTTTGTCATTCCAGATGGACCTGACCATTCCAGGACTGAAACCATAATTGCCGAAAGCCCTTGAAATGTATTCAACAATTCACATGTTAAAAACTTGGAAATCTATTCAGCCCAAATGAAATGTTTCTTTTAAAAAACTTCTGCCGTATTTTAATTTGTTCAGTGTGCTTTTCAGAGTGACAGTGAGAATTTTATGCATGTGTCTTGCCTGCATATCTGATACGTTACAAACCTCCAAAATGAAAGGTGTGGTGATCACATAACATGTACATTTAAGAAGAATCGCAATGAATACTTCGTGATGAGAAAAACTTATTCCAAGCATTACTGGAAAACATCTCAATGCCCTTTAGAATTAATTTGGATTTTTTTTCTCTAGTTTTGCTGAAGTTTTAAAAAAATGTATTATATAAATAATTCAGAATTTTCCTGTGTAGAACTAAATCTATAATTTAGTTTTAAAACATAATCTTGTTTGCATTAAAGTTCAGGTTTTTTTAATGGAAATTGTTTTTCATATGTAATGGCTAAAAACCTTTTATTTGATTCATTTCAAATGACAATTGCTGATGGGCAATTTATATTGCAATGAGAACAAGACAATGAAAGAAATGTACCTCTGTGAATATGCATATATACACATAAAATTGATTTTTAAATTTAAAACATATGGAAAACAAAACACTGAATGGTCTCTGAATTTTGCCAATTAAGACGTTAAGGTAAAAATGAAGTCAAACCATGCATCAAAAAAAGAACATTTTGTTTCTAAATTGGACTATCTTTGAGTGAGAATAATCAATATTGAGAAAGAAGAATATCTTTTTTTAATCAAACTATAATATTCTAATCAACTTGATGAGACTCCAAACTTGAATAAACAATGGAGCCGTCAAACAATAACAGAGTATATGTGCTACGGAAAAGTAAAAAGGATTTGACTCTTTTATGGTGGGATGTTTTTTCTGCGTATGTAATCTATTTTGTAATTTTTTTTTTTTAACTGGAAAGCATTTTTGTGAGTGTGAATGAGAGCCAGTAGTGCAGCCTTGTGGTGACATTTTTCTTTGTTTTGCAGAATGCTTTTAAAACCAAAGGCTGCTCTAGTTGATATAAGGACAGTACCAATCTTGATATAAATTGTAGGACAATTTTTCATGTAACATAGCATTTGGGGATTGGGTTTATTTAGTGTATTGAAGATGATTTGATATAAAAATATTTTGTATATATATATTTTTACTTTGTTTTCTAAATTGCTGTTTGCAGTAACAGTAAGTGCAAAGCAAGATATGTAAGTTATGACTGTATGATCAGATGAAGTATGGGTTCTTTTGGTTTACATCCTTCAGTAATTTCAGATCCATGATAAAAAACAACTGCTGAATCTTTATTAATCAAATTTGCCAAAATGAGATCAAGTCAATGAAAACTAAAGACAAGTACTTCATTCTTTATCATACTATACTATTCTAAGTTATTCTGGTACTAAATATTTTAATAAAATTGTTTTTGTTTTGACATACTTCAGTTAGATGAATGGATGCTGGTTATTTTTTATTTGAATTAGTTGTAATTCATTTCTGCCATCTTTTTAAAACGAATCAGCAAATTTGTTCTGTGTTATAAACTATGGATGACAAGCCAATATAGGACAGCTATTCACGTGATTTTTTTTTTAAAATACCAAAGCTTGGAGTCTGGCCTATAAACACATCAAGAAGATTTTATAATTAGCACATCTTTGGCAATATCTCCAATTGCAATTACTTTTAATTTATTTTTTCTATTGCTGCTTTACCATTTTCTGGAAATCGAAGTCATCCTTTAAAAGAATCTTGAACAATGCTGAGCCAGCAGCTGAGACTCTAACTCATAATTTATGTTGTAGAGAAATAGAATTACCTCTATGCTTTGTTTTGCCATATGTAATCATTTTAATAAAATTAATAACTGCCAGGAGTTCTTGACAGATTTAAAATAAAAGTTAATTTCTAGACCTCAGTGATCATATGAATTTTGTTTTCCTTTGAGACTTGACCAGGTGGAGAAAGAAGCAGAACAGAAGGGTCCATTATATGCCATAATTCTCCTTAGGTTGGTAAGGGCTATGCTATGCTACGAGAGCCCCGCATCTGTGCTAGGTTTGATTTCATCACCTAAGACCACCAACCCACCTTTTAAGAGCCGAGAATAAGGGATTATGATTCTAACCATTAAAATACATAACTTTAAAATGAACACGTTCACTAAATACATTCCTTCAGTGGCTGGTACAATAAGCATTATTTCTGTGTGCTATGCGCTTGAGAGAACCTTGGCTTTGAAGCTAGACAGATCTACATTGGAATCCGAGCTCTGCCACTCACTACTACAAGATCGTGACTCGGTCACTCTAGGCTTCATTTCTTCATCTGTGAAGTGAGAGGAATGAGTTAAACCTCGTGGAGTTTGCCGCAAGGTTTACAGATGATACACAATAGATAAAGTGCCTTCCAGAGTGCCTGGCATTTTTATAGGTGCTCAATAAATGGAAGGTATTATCACATAATTATGCTTCCTCTATATAGGGCTTATGTTCAAGAAAGTAGAACTATAAATGGAAGATGAGATATGGGCAGTTTAAGGAAGAGCCTTGGGAAAGGAAATATATCCGACGTGGGAGACTGCAATGAAACGCTAAAAGTTGGCATCAGAGTCAGATCTTCAAGGAAGATTATTTTATCATTAGTTTTAACTTCCTGGAGAAAGGCATAAAGCACAACAAAGAGAAGAACAGACACGCCAATAGAAAACACAGCATGTGTGAGAGCTTCCTTTATTCAAATCAACAAGAATTGCTTTTCCCTCTATTCGTCCTGCATGATCCTGTTTAAGATGACTGACAACTCAAGCCACTGTCTGTATTCTCTGCCCACTCCAAGCGGCAATGTTTACCAAACAGTGGCAACAGCCATGGTCAGCTTTTAAACTCATCCAGCTCAGTGGCACAACATCATGCAAATAATTACAGAGAATGAGAGCAAGCCACCCAGACTCTTCTGTCTGGAATAATTTAGGTTGGCCATGCCACAGAGGGCAGTGTGGAGTGGTGGTCAGAACTGGGCTGGCACAGCCTGGCTTTGCCTCTTCGCTCCTTAGTGACTTTGGGAATAAAATAAGCCTTCTATATCCAGAGTTTACATCTATAAAATTTGATCTATGAAATTTACCTACTCCAAAGATCTGTTGTGCGGAGTAAGATAGTGGATACAAAAGTGCTTTGCACACTGCGTGGTACATGTTAATAGTTATTAACGTGTTCCAGATGACTCTGAAAGGCCTAATATCCCATAATTTTTGGCAACATAAATTGTGGTTTTCATGAAGCATATAAGACCCCTAGATTTTGTCAAATACATGTTATGATCTACCATCTTTGGGACTTTTTAAGCACAAAGAGGCTTTAGTCTCGTACTTATTTGAAACAATTATGATCACAATTAGGTGACTGATTGTCACACTGCAGGTAAAGAATCCTGGCTGCACCTTTTCCTAGCTTTGAGACACATCTTAGAGATGGACTAAAATTTGGTTTGGGAAGTGTGTGTATTGCAGATAATAAACTTTTTAAGATGAGAAAAAAGATTTCTGAGTTTGGAAAAACAAGCTGACGTGTTTTACACAATCTTTACACAAATAACTGGAAATTCATGTAAAAGGGAAGCTCCAAGGGGTTGGCTGAAGCCTTTGTTGGGATGGTATCACAGAGCAACTTCTCCCTCTGCTCAATTAGGATTTTATTTTTTAAAATTAATTTTCTAGTTGTAGCATTTGGATTTCTAGGTATACGATCATATTATTTCCAAATAATGAAAATTCACTGACCCTTTTTTTGATATTTATACTCTATTTCTCTTACCTTGTGGCACTGACTGACATTTCCAGAACGATTTTTAACGAGAGGTGATAGTGAGCCATCTCATATTTGTCCATGATAATGGGTTTACCTCTAGGGTTTAAATATTATATGTCATAATAGATATTGGTTTGAGATAGTTGTTCTTTTTCATATTTTAAGGCAATATTCTTTCATTCTTGATTTACTAAAAGATTTTATAAATGGATGTTGATTTTTTTCTAAACATTTTAAATTAATTATAACATAGAAAACGTCACGAATTGTAAGTGTACAATTAAGCAAACTTTATAAAGGGGAATGTAATTGTGTAACCAACACCCAGGTCAAGATTTAAAAAAATATATATGTGTGTGTGTGTGTGTGTGTGTGTGTGTATACATATTCATGGAGTCCCCTAAAGGTAAACATTTTACTGACTTCTGCCTATTTTTGAAATTTAAATAAAATCAGAGTTATACTTTTGTTTCTGTCTTTTTTTGTTCAATGTTATATTTGTGAGATTCATCCATTCTATTGCATATAGCAGCAATTCATTCTTTTTTATTGTTATATACTGTTGCATCATTATATGAATACACCACAAATCATTAATATGTCCCATTGCTGATGGACATTTGGATTGTTTTCCATTTGGGGGACTATGACAACTACTACTGTAAACATTCTCATACATTTCTTTTGGTAAGTTTATGTATGTATTTCTGCTAAGTGGGAGTGAACTTGTTGAGTTGTGTTCAGTTTTAGTAGATATTATCAAACAGTTTTCCATAGTGGTAACATCAATTTACATCTCGAAAAGGACTGTATGAGAGATCAATTTTGCCTTGCGAAACTGCCAGTTTTTAATGTTTTAGCCATTATGGTAGATTTGCAGAGCCTTCTAATTATGGTTTGAATTAGTGTTCTTAATATTAAAATAAAATATTAAATATATTGATATTTTTAATATTAATATTTAATTTGTGGTTTTAACATGTATTGAATATTTAGATTTCGTGCAGTGTCCATTTAAGTTTTTTGCCCATTTTTGTATTGTGTTGTCTGTTCTTTTCCTAATTGATTTTGAAGTGTTGTTTTATACATTCTGGGTGCCAGTCCTTTATCAGATGTATATGTTGCACATGCCCATGTGTCTGTAGGAAGTATCTTCTAAAAAAGTATCTTGTAGATATCCTGAATCTCCTTAAATGCATTTGTTTGATTCTTTATTATCAAGTTGTAATAGTTCTCCTCCAACAGTTGTCTCAGCAGAAACTGCCTGTTCTGAATATCATTTGTTATTCCCCTGTGGTTGCCCAACATCAATTTTCATTACATGCTCAAGACTTTCCTCAGTTTGAAGCCCAAGTCCATTGTAAGCAGTGGAAAGCCTATGAGTAGGAGTTGGGGGTAGACACGTTCAGTGATCAGGAGACAGACCACCAGAAAGCGTACCCAGAAGCATCCCCTCTGCTCTCCAAGCTGCCTAACTGCAAAAGCAGGAAGAACTCAGCCAATTGCTCAGCAATCCCACAGTGTTTTGAGGGTCAGGACCTCACCCCATCTAGGCTGCCTCTTCTCAGAGATCCCTGTATTTTCACAAGCCAGACTTTCTCTAGGAACTTAGAACTTGATGTTCACCTTGGAGTTCTCCTTTACAGTTCTCCAAGTCTAGTCCGGACAGAGGGAAACAAACAAATGATTCCCTTCCTGTCTCCCTCCCTTCTCTCTCCCTCATTCTCTTCCTCTCACTTCCTTGATCTCTTCCCTCACAGGACCAAGTTCTTCCTCAGTTCCACAGGCTCTGGCTGATAGCTCAAGAATAGCTTTCCTGAGGAGATGAATTGAAGCCAGCAATGAAGGGCAGGCAGCTGAGATTTACATGTGGGGCTGCCATTTCCCAGCCTCTATTTCTTGAGTTACATGCTTAAAGTACCACCCGTTGAACCCTCGATATGAAAGATGAGGTAACCAGAACTCTTACACTTCCTCTCATTCTCACATGCCGTTTTAACAACCTTCTTGCTAATTTTACATTGTCTGTATTTATGCTACTTAAATGATTCTCTGAAGCCATTACTTTCACAGTTACTAAAAATGAGTTTAACGCTTACTGTGAGTCCTTTCATACACTCCTTCCCCTACCCGAGTTCTCTATTTTAATTTATCTTTTGATTAGATGGGTGTTGTCATAATTTTTTTGTTTTAAAGATGAGCTCATAAATGCCGTATTCCCTTGGGTTGAAGCTGTCTTCTATTCCTTTATACATTCACAATAACCTAGATAGATACCAGTCTCGGGTCTCACTTCTTCCCTCGGAATTTTTGTTACTGCTGCACTACTAACTGACTAGTCAGATAGTGCTGTGATGCCAGCATTATATTCCCACCAATACATTAGTTAGTATTTGTATTTTGCCTGATTCCATACAATTTTTTATTTATGCTTAATGTTCAATAATTTAGCCAGATGTGTCTCAAGGTTATTCTAGAGTTATTCCAGATGTGTCTCAAGGTTATTCTGTGTCTTCTGCATCTACAGACTAAAATCTACTTTATTTCAGTGAACAATTTCTTATAGCGAAATTATTTAATTTCCCTTTTTCTGTTCTTGTCCTCAATTTTGCCAATTTGCCATATTCACTTATTTGATTATTACTTGTTTTGTACCTATACTATGCCAGGTACTTTGCTAGGTGTTAGGTATCATAATATATACAAACAGAGCATAGTAGAATTCCAGTTATAACCCCTGTGTCAGTCTTTCATATCTATTTTTAGCAGTATCAAATTTTCTTGTTGTTTCGCAACTCTGTTTTGTTTTGTTTAAATTATCTTCTATTTCTTTCTTGCCCTCAAGAGGCTTATCATTCTCTCCTCTGTGATAGGGATATCATTTATATCCTCTTCGAGTTTGTTTTTCACAGTGTATTTCCTCTTAACCTTCTTTGAATATACAGAGTAATATTTTTTCAGAAACATTCTCCTTTTCCTGGAAAATTTCTTTTCATGCAGGTTCTTTATTTGCTTTTTGCTTGTTATGTCTGCTTTTCTCCTTTTTGAGAATTGTATACAGATCCCATTTTTTTTGTTCTTTATACTCACTATTACTCTTTGCTCAAGA